CCCGCTCAGGCATCGACTAAGAGGACCTAGTCACGCAATATTCAAACTGATCGCATTCCAAACGCTTCGTAATATTAATTAGCTTTATCATCCGCCGCTACCGCCAGACCGAGCGAAAAATGGACAATCGATGCGAAGAGTAGCACGACAGCGTGCAATAATTAATCCGTTCGTGGTATCTTTAATCGCGGACGACCTCGGGAAATCTACGACCTGATGATCGATACACCGCGCCTGCTGTTAGAAGGCAACTTGCAATTCCACTCAATTATTACGGTAAAATATTTCATTAGAATCGGCTTTTTCGCCTGGTAAAAATTACGAGATCCAAGATAAATGGATGATTTACGGTGAGAATCTTAATCCCGCATCGCGCGCGTACGATTGCAAAGATTAATTTCTTTTTTATTTTGTTTCTTACACACAGATATATACTTCAGTGAAAAATGTTTTCTCGCGGCATGCCATTTTCCGGTAACATTTCATTGCAAAAGATCGTTATTCTCTCACGTGTATACCTTCTGATGACACGAACCGTTTACTTGCGATTACACATCGCGATAATTCCACCACTTACGTCGGCGTAACGGCGGAATACCTTGTCAGTCCAGCCGCGAGGAAGGCGCGCGGTGATAGTAGCAAAAATCACGGGGAGTAATTCAATAAGACGTAATCCGCAGTCGTGAACGGAGTGAAACGGTGAAGAAACAGAGTCACGCAATATGCGAGGGGATGTTGTTCCGGACATCCGGCGACGCTGATTAACTTTACACGGGCCGCGTCGTATTTTCAATTTCAGCTTCATTAAACCCGATTGTCCTTCGCAGAATGTTCAGGTACGTAACACGGAGGAATATGAGGGCACACCGGCGTGATGGCGCCCGTGGCACGCAAAGCAGTTCGACGCTTGGCACGACTGACATTTCTGCTGGATTCTGGTGCGCCATAACGCCAGACTTGAAATGCACTTGAAAATGGTCGCGGCGCGTATTAATATCTCGATCGCGCGCTAAACCCGCCGAAATATTCGGCGAGCGTGAACGCGAGAACCCGCCGTCCGCGTGAAAGCCGCGATCGCTCGCGCATCGAATCCGCAGCGACGCGCGCGTCTGTAATTAATTCCCCGTGAGAGAACGCGGCTGCAACGACATTCCGGCGCGATTGCGCGAGCCGCGTAAGAAGTCTCTTCGTGTTTTCGCCAGAAGAATGTTTATATCGTTGCAAAAATAGCACTCGCGAAGGGTTACGCATTTGTGCTCTTAGCACACGGCGGCATGAATCAGCGCGAATCATTTATTTATTATCAGCAACAAACTGCTACTAACTAACGAGCCCAAAACTAAAAACATAATCCTTGGCTCTCTTAGATATGTCAACCTTTTATCTGGTTGCGCACTTGGAATAATTGTCAATAATGTTCAGATTGAGCACTTCGGGTCAATTAAAAGCCCAGATATCACATTTACCGACACCTTTGTCTTCATATAAATAATAAGGGCCACTTAACAATTACGTCACGCTAAATTTGATTATTTTTTACTCCCTCCCTTCCTTTCGTCATTAGGTATTTGGCCCTTTCCAATACTATATATGGTGATATATGGAATTAATCCTTCTCCGTGACATATAGAATAAAAAAATAATTTATAACCATATTGTGGATAATAATTATTAGACTGCACGTTACTATCTTTTTCTAAAGTACAAATAATTTTTTAGCATATAATATCTAATTAATTTTGTCTTTACTTTGTCATTTTGATTAGCAAAAGTTGTGTTTTTAAAAGAATAAATGTAAAAAAATTAACATTTTGATTATTAACACAAAACCATGTCAAAACTTAAACATTTTCACCAAATATAACCAAACTCGTGTCACGAGTGCAAGTACAAAGTGAATAACTACACATATCCATATTTATAAGTTATGCCATCTAATTTGACGTTCCATTACTATCCCTTTCCTTGCCACAGACCGTCACGCAGGCTAATGAATCCCTTTCATCCCTCCCTCGCGGCGTAATTGTTGCATGGCCCCGTATTAGAAATAAAGTTAACAGAGTCCTTTGCGACTTGTTGGATATCTTCTATCGTTAGTAGTACGTAAGAATTTGGTTTCTACTCTTCCCATTTTCTAACGGCTGAACAAAAGATAAAGTTTCAGAGACTTTAATAATTGCATACTTTTTATTTTTAGCATTCAACAAGCATGTCTCACAATATTATCAGAGTTTAATTAGTTAAAGGTTTCCTATGGGAAAGCATATTTTCTATACATAACATATTTTCTATACAAGCTTGCTTTTTGTATATGGTGCTATCTACGGGTATTCCTTCTTACATTCGCGAACAATTCTATCGTGCCGATGTCTGTGAATGATCATCCGTACTTAGACCTGATTATCTATTTGTATCAAAACATGCATCGTACAAGTATTTTTCACGAGTCCTTTTTAATTTCAGGCATTGCGAGTTGAAGTTCGTTGCCCTCATTCACTAAAAAACTGTCATTATCATTCTTCAAACTAATCATTTTCAATCATTATCTTGATTTACAAAACATTAGTCAATAATTATCATCCTCATCTAATTACGTATCTTAGCTTTTCATTATAATTATTTTTTTGTAAGCTATGCTCTTTATTCTTCGTGGTTGTCAGTTTATATCTATACATGTCGTTCATCTACGTGTTATATTGTACAATTTGTTGTTCTTACAGGATTTATTCCTAGAGCATAATTCTAAAAGCCGATTCTATTCTATTCCATTATCTTCTATTTCTCGAGCTTCTAGTCGGCCGTAGTCCAAACCGCGTGTGTCTACCGTTTTTACATGGAACGTAACCATTCATTCGTGTCATTTTTAATTAAGATCTGCAAAAATCTCCAGTTAGGAATCTTGTATTAAGCTGAAACGAGAAATGAGAAAAAACGTACTCTATCTTTCAACACACGCGCGCGAGAAATGGAATTCAGTATCCGGGGCACTTTCGCGTCTGACGCCCGTCGCCTTTTTCCACTTTAACCTCTCGCGTATCCGGGAGTCATAATTTGTCGCGTTGTTGGCGAACGGGAGAGGAGCCGCGGGATGCCGCGGACGCAGTACGTTTCCATGTAGAAAGTCATTGCGAAGCTTCGCATAACTGCTCGAGTGAGTCACATGCATTCGATATAAATTCCCGGAATGACCGGGACGGCGGCGGAGGCGGTGACGACGACGACTACGAGATGTCGACGGCGGCTGACACGCTGCGCGGGTTTGTCAACAGGAAATAAAGTCGGTCACTTCGCTCTGCGCGGGGGTTAAAAGACGCGGAGATCCCAGCCACCCTCGACGTATATCCAATATCAGATAATTCGCCGTCCGTTTGACGAGGCGCGCATTAAAGACAGCAGCAACCCGCGCCGTCTCGAGGAACAGCGCATCGTCTCGAATTAAGCCGACGGCGGCTCACGACCGTTGCGTGGCAGACGGCCTTAATGGCCGCGGCACGGAAATATTTTATGGTGTGCACTTTCGAGCTGTCGCCGGATTTAGGACGAAGGTCACGACGGCCGTGCTCCGAGCGCAAAAATCTGGCGATTTCGTCCGTCTGTCGCCCGCGCGTTGCCATGACGATCGATCACGGCCGATAGTCTCCGACCCCCGTTAAGATTGGCGTTAAGACGACGCCGGAAGCCCGACTTCCACCTCTGGACCGGCCACACTTTGTTCATACTGTATTATGTATCGTGACATGAAGCATATATACTTCTCGTACGGCATAACGTCGAGATAAGTGCTATTATTCGCGCTCGATAGAATGAACCGGGCGACGTCGTGTCCACTCGCGAACGAGCGAGCGCGAACCATCGAGGGTAAATATAAATGCCAAGGCGCTCCCGAATTATTGTTAACGAGCGAAACGTCCATCTTGTATAGGCTTACGGCGAATCGTTAATTTTAGGTACTCCGAGAATACATTCGCGGCTGCGTATCTTAATGAGTTACTGAAGAGACTCGGCAGATATAACGATGCTACTGTGCAAACGCCGCCGTTATGAAATATTTCCGACTTCTCTCGATCTCGCTTCTCTTTGAGAATCGTCGCCGTTTGAAAGAACAAGTCTGTCGTCGCATTCTCCATTAACAACCGTCGGTCGCGGCGCGCACTTCCGAGGAATTTCGCGAAACTAATTCTCTCTCTCTCTCTCTCTCTCTTTCTCTCTCTCTCTCTCCCTTAGACTAAAAGAACTACTAGATCTCTAGATGATGTGATTGTTATTTTGCAATGCCGTGCTGAGACTTACAGACGCTCTTTTACAATAATTACGGCAAGGGTATGGAATTGACTGCCTTCAGTTTTTAGAACGTGCGAAGAGAGGTAGACTTTGAAACAAAGTTATATAAATATCTTTGAACTGATGTAGGATTTTGGTTGATGCTTATTATGTTTATGGGCACTAATCTGTCATAATTGTCTTTGGTGCTGTATGTGTCAAACATGTTGTACTGCATGAAAAATCACACTGAGAAAGTTTAGTCATTTAGTTGACTCAAGCAAAAAGCTTCTTTGAATATGGTCAAACAAATGTTTTGGCTGTGAGAGACAACATTTAGTTCTCTGACACGAAAATGAAAGAAATTTAATTCAAACAACCAAATTTTGGCTCTCACAACCAAAAAATTTGTCTATATCCAAACTTTTGAACTAACTAAATGGGGTTTTCAGCGCATAGAGAAATCGTTCTTCTAATTTTCAAAATTTCAAAATTTTTTTTAACATGTATGTTTTTAATATTGCTATTATTTCTATATCTAATATCATATTACTTTTTCTTTTCGTAAATTCATTATACGACATAAGCATTTGTGTTAACACCACTAATTTATTGTATATTGTGCTCTGCGCTTTAGAAGACTGTTCCAGAGCGCGTAATAAATGTTGCTATCTCTCTTTCTTTCTCTTTTTCTTTCTAATTTCACCGACTTTGTCGCTCTCTCTCTCTCTCGGTTGCAGATCGGAGCTTTTTAGTGGCGAACGCGCAACAGGGACTATGCCACATTATCTATTGCTCGGACGGTTTCTGCCGGCTGACGGGCTTCTCAAGGGCAGAAGTGATGCAGAGGCCGGCAGTCTGCGACTTCCTCCATGGACCAATGACGTCGCCGCACGCGGTTGCGGCCCTACGAGACGCCCTCTCCGCCGGCGTCGAAAAGCACTTCGAGATCCTCTACTACAGGAAAGATGGTGAGGGTTGTCTTTATTAATCACTCTCAATCTCTGCAGTCGCGACCGTTCGCATTGTATGTCACAAGGAAATACGATGACATAATCTAGCCGACGATCAGAAATCTTAGAGTTACGGAAAACCTAATAAAATTTTGGAAAGTTAGGCGACAAAGTTAAACTGTCTTGAGTGTCTAAAGTTCTGCGATATACTAGGACGTTGAACATGAGAAGTAGACTCTACTGTAGAACGTAAGGTACATAAACCCGAAGAATAAAAATACCCGGATCACTTTTCAACTCTCCAATTGTCGATCTATGGCTGTTTAGATATGCGTGTGTCATGCATCTAGTGCGTCGTGATAAGTTCAAAGTGGTATTGTCGTCCTTGTACGTATCTATGTATGTGCGAAAGAGAACAAGCAAGGAGCGAACGTATTTCGCACTAAAGATAGCTTCGGAAAGAGAACGGTTCGCACGAGGTCGAGATCCGGATTTTTCCACCGTGTCGTCGTCTTCGGGATATTTTTTTTAAGAAGGTGGAAAATATTTTTCGCGTCTACCGCCGTGCGAACGTCTTTGCCGTTTCCGGCGTGGAGCAGGCGGGCGAGATAAACATCCGCACGAGGTGTCACGCGACGGTGTAACTTTACGGTTATTGCCGGCGGAAATAAATCAATATAACGCGTTGTCGCAGGTAGAGATTTATTGGAGGCTAGCAGCGAAGTCGCGAACGCAGAAATATGCACATCGGCCATCTTCCGTCTTCTCCTCTTTTTCTTCGAAACGGATGTTGTTGGATTTATATGGGAACGTGCAACATCAAGTTGAGCGCGCAAATTGCAGGTTTCTATGAAAAAATATAGTTCGCATTTCACGATTCAGCACTCTTTCTTTATTTGCCAACGTAGATTCGGTATGGGTTCCCTCTCAACGTAGCATTTCGTCCCCCTTCATTTTTGTCCCGACTTTACGATTACGCCGAATCTATTAAGCACCCGACTAAGATCTCGTTCCGAAGGAACGAATCAGCGAGACGTGGCTTCCTCGGATGTACGGCAGATGTAACAGAAGCTCGGTTATTTGGAGCAGGAAGATTGAATTTGTTCGCAGGCCAGTGGTTACTTCGAACTCGATTTTGCCGTAGTGTCTGACCTTAGCCGCGGTGAAATCAATAGTCACTACTGTATAATTTATCATAGTCATAGTGCGGAACCTCCCACCTCGGAAAGAGTTTATATAGCCTCGTACAAGCGGCCTAACTTCCTGAATTTTTCGGGCGACACTATAAAAAATGTATCTATATATCATTGTGCTGTATTCGTCGAACACAAAATGAAAGGTTCTGTTTTAACGGTTTCGCTTTAAAGGCCGCACATACGCAAATACACGAGAAGTGCGGTGGTAAAGTGGTAAATGTTATCGTCAAGTGCATACTCAAGATGGAGAGTAGTACGTATTATAATGTTTCCTCGGAGATCGGCCGACACAAAGCACATAATTGTAAAGTTAATCGAGTTAAAAGCTGTCGTGACAGTGCAACGCGTGGAAATACATTCATAACGGATCCTTTCTCTCGCTCTCTCTCTCTCTCTCTCTATATATATATATATATATATATCTCCCCCTGTTTCTTCCTCGGTATCACTCAGGTCGGCGTTGCAGCGGAACAAAAAGTTTGCTCGCTTTACCCCTTTTCTCCGTCCTCTCGAGATGGACGGGCACTTTGCTTCGTCGTGAGACGCCCGGCGCGTTAATTAAGGAGCTTAATTAAACCTCGCTACGCGACGAGACGTAGGAGTGTCGATGGAGCGAGACGCGAAGAGCGTGTCACGAACACCTGCAGCCACTTCCCGGAGCAAAACACTGCGAGTGTTAGCACAGGAGATTCGCGGATAGTTACGTGCCAGTGATTCCACCCTTTGTTGAAACAACAAACTTTTGCACTTCCCGGAGCACGCGTCACGTGACGTTGATGGCCACTTTGCGAGCGGAAGAGAAGCGCATGATAGTCTCTTGGGAGGCGCTAGAAAGATAGGACAAAGAATAATTGACCGATATGGACAATTTTCCAATCATCGATAACTTGAGCCTGTGAACCTATTCTTATCCGCGTTACTTGTTATTTTTATCATTTTTATTTTTCTCGGTATCACGTCGCAGTAGATGAGGCACATTGCTCTCCCCTCTTTTTTCCTCTCTTCCTCTCTCTTTCTCCCATTTTTAAATTATTTTTCTCCGCTAACAAAAGACTATGAGCGAAAGCTAATCGCATGATGGATTACGGCTATCGTTGAATTATTATCGTTCCTGGTATCAACCGTATCCCGTATCTGGCTCACCGGAGAATCGATTTACGAGACAATGGAAAGCGCACGTCTTCGCGAGAGTTAACGCAACGCCAGCTTTATGACGCGCGCCCTTGAATGAGTCTCTACCTACGGACGTTAGTACAGTTACGAACATGGAAAATTAATCAATGGTCTGTCGAGTTTCAAACTACGACTTCGTGCATTAGACAGGACTGCAGTTAGCTAATTACACGGAACTTTTAACGGCTAAAATATGTATCGATAGTTACGAAACTCGAAAGAAAAAAAAGAAAAAGAGAGAACTGGGGAAATTAAAATTAGAATTTTTACAAGAACGCAGCCAAATATTCCCAAACATTAAGAAGCTTTCTGAGGCGCCGAGAGAGTTTGTTGCAGAAGTCGATTGCTAAAAGCAAAGATGATAAATTCACGTAGAAATACATTTTGTCTTAATGCCTCAACGAATTAGTTTTATTTTTCTCCGACGCAACCACAGTAGGTAATTGAGATGAATAATAAAATCGCGCAGCTTTCGAGAACGGATGAATAGCCGCTGTATATAATCCGTGACGGCGTATAATTGATAGTTGTCTACCAGCTCACTTTTATGGATAACGTGGATAACGCGACAAAAAATTATAATTCAAATTAAAAGAGCGATTAATGACCTCCGACTGTGAAGATTGCGGAAAGATAAGAGAGCGAGCATGCATCAATTATTCTGCCATAGACATGATAACATCCGTTCATTAACGCTAGCTGTTAGTCCTTTCGCGTTTAATGGAACGAACTTGTCAGGAGTGAAGAGACATTAGTGACAAATCGATTTCACTGCAGCAAGGAAACTTCTCGCCGGACAAGCACTAGTTTGCTAAATTGACTTATCATAGTTTGTAAGGATCGATCGATATACGTTATAACAGCAGTAATAACCGTGATTTAACACACGACAATGCTTAATATCGTTTTTGCAGACATTCAATCATTCAAGAATTCGAAAACTGTCAGTACATTGTCAACCATATATCGCTAAAATTAGAGGTACACGTTGAAAAACCTTGTATAATTACGAAGGTCACTTATACGTAGAGATACTTCGAATTTGAAGATACTACGCGATAGTACCTCCAAATTTGGAGGTAAAGTAGATCATATTTAGTTTTCACACTTTTTATATATTGATTAAAAGTAAAATAATTCTAAAATATTGTATAGAATATTTTATAATATTATGTACATTATAATGTAGCCACATTCTTTAGATAAAAGAAAACAAATATTAATCTTATATATATTTATGCACAAAGTATTTAATTATAAACAAGGTCACGTAAATGTGATATCTCACCTAATATCTTGAGATAATACTGTATAATACTATTATATTATACACATAAGTGTGTAAAAATGACATACTTGGATTTGCGGTGTAATTTTTATGCACTGGTATGTAAAATTGTAATTCTTATACATTTATGTGTGTAAAATTGTAATTTTTATATACATATGTGTGTGAAATTGCACTAGGTAACACGTGTAAATTAGAAACGCGTAAAAAATGACTACGTAAAGTATGCAAAATTATATATTTGGATTTGCAGTGTAAGGCTTTTATTTCAACGTGTATCTCCAATTTTGGCGATACATGATTAATAATGTAATATACCTTGATATTTAATTGAAAAAGAAATCAAACCAACCGATAGTAATTACGTCATCGTGATATCTGCTCTGCCCCTCCCTCCCCCNNNCCTCCCTACTCTCTTTCCTCTCCTTTCTTTCTTTTTCTTTCTCCATTTCGCTGCATTTCTCCCACTTCCCTCTCCTTTTCCGCGATACCCATTTCGCGAGCGCCTCCTTCAGAAAAGCTCTCCCACGTAGTTACGCAACAACGCTCGCGGCCGCGAGGACGGTGTTTTGAGGCGTCCAAGAATAGTCACGTGCTCGTATTCCACCCCCTTCTCTTATTCCTGAAACGTCCGCCGTTACCTTCTCCTCCTCCTTCACCTGCTCCTCCTCTCGCTCCTCCGACATACCCCTTTTCGCGCGATATCCCCTCCCGAACAGCGTCGTTTAGTCAATGACATCACGGAGGCGCTCGAACTCACCCCCTCTCGCGTGTTTGGTCCACCGGTGGCGTCTACCACGCGTGACGTCATCAACAGCCTACCTACGTCGCCCTCCAACCCTCTCCACCCGGCCGCCATCCAACGCCATCGGCAGCTGGCGATGGCTGTAAGCTCAGCGCGAGCTACAAAGCTCTCTGTGGCGTCACAGGACAACGACCCGCGTTCGAGGCGCGCCATGGCCGGTCGGCCGGTCGATCGGTGCTTCGACACGAGCGCAAGCCTCGCCTCGATTTCGAAAGCTCCGACTGTAAGCTCACCGGGGAACGGCCGGCGCGGCCTATTCGGCGTCGCCTGAGACGCAAGCTTGCAGTCTCCGCGGCGACAGCGAGCCGAGCTTTCGCCGAGTGTATGGCTCGCTCGCTCGCGAGAGGAGGTGATCCCCGTCGCGGTGTCGTTGTTGGCAAAGCGAACTTTCCGTGCCGTGACGATGGCGCGTCGGGCTGATCGAGTTTGCAGCTTTCGACACACCGCGAGAAGGCGGACCTCGTCGCGTCAAGTAGCCGGACGCGATGCTGAGATATAGCGGTAACTCGGATACGAGGGTACATCGCAGAAACTATATACGATAGGTCTTACAATT